CATGAATTCTCAGTTTAAATATGTTTGATCAGTTCATTTGCCCTTGATCACCTTATACTTATTCAAACTTCATTGTTTTATTCAGATGTTTGCCCTGCCTGACAAGCATTCCCTTTTTTCTCTCTTCTACATAAGCTTTGCCTTTTCTTCAAGTTTTATATATTCCATTTGGTTACTATATAACTTGTTTACTTACAGATGTTGTGTGTGCTTGTGTGAAAAACTCAGTGGTACGGATGTGCTCTCACACATGTTTTTCCTTTATTCACTCCACCCTGTGTAACAAAATGCTCTGCCACAGTTGCTGTCTGGTAGTTATTGATTGTTTTATTCATTAACAGGCAATAAAGCTAATTTTAGGTTTATCACATGCATCCACACATTTAAGCCTTCTGAAAATAAAAAAAAACATTAATTATGCCTTTTTTATAACAGGAAATTCCAGCTTTTTCCAAGAAATAAATAGTATTCAATGTGTGCAAGAGGTTAGGAAGTAAAAGGTGAACCAACAATTTTAGTGAGGAAGACTGAGAAAGGGAATAGGCTATCATCAATAAATGCACCAAAGGATTATCTTAAAGGTAGTATACATTAAATAGTCTATAAAAAGATATCACCAATGGCAAAATCCTCAATTTATCCATATTTTTTTTTCAGTTTCAAGACCCTTATAGCACTCATATTAGTCAAGATTATTTTCTTTTTGTCTTTCTATTTTACATATCAACTAACCACCATTATTTATTGATTAGTCTTTTTTGTTCAAAATCTACTTTTTATTTTACTTTTTTTTGTTTTTTAAGTATAGTTGTCTCCACTGCCCCCCCTGCGTGCATCCATCATTGCTTCCCACCCTTGATCCTACCCCCTTTGTCTTTGTCCATGTGTCCTTATACATGTTCTTTGACAACCCCTCCCTTATTTCCCACATTATTTCTCTCCCTCCTCTCCTCTGGGTACCATAAGTCTTTTCTTTATTTCAATGTCTCTGGTTATATTTTCCTCACTTGTTTGTTTTGTTGATCAGGTTCCATTTACAGGTGAGATCACATGGTATTTGTCTTTCACATCCTGGCTTATTTCACTTAGCATAATGCTCTCCAGATCCATCCATGCTGTCATCAGCAAAGACATCAGCAAAATGAAAAGGAAACAAACCATATGGAAAAATAAATTTGCAAATGATACCTCAGACAAGGGTTTAATGTCCAAAATATATAAAGAACTCTCATGACTCCACAGTGGGCAAAGGACATGACCATACACTTCTCCAAGGAGGACATGCAGAGGGCCCAGAGACATATGAAAGGATGCTCAGCATCACTAGCCATCAGAGAGGTGCAAATTAAAACCACAATGAGATACCAGTCCACACAGGTCAGACGGCCATCATAACCAAATCAACAAATAAATGCTGTCAAGGTTGTGGAGAAAAGGGAACCGTAGTCCTCTGTTGGTGGGAATGCAGACTAGTGCAGCCACTGTGGAAAACAGTGTGGGAGTTCCTCAAAAAACTGAAAATGGAACTGCCTTTTGACCCAGCAATTCCACCACTGGGATTACACACTAAGAAACCTGAAGCACCAATTCAAAAGAACCTATGCATCCTAATGTTCATAGGAGCATAATTTACAAAAGCCAAGTGTTGGAAGTAACCTAAACACCCTTCTGTAAATGAATGTATCAGAAAATTATGGTACATTTACACAATGGAATGCTATGCAGTATATATGATTAGTCTTAATTCACTATGTTATGCATTCCACTAATAACCTTTCTTATTGCATCTACAACGTGTCATTGTGATCCCATTGTCTTTCACTCATTCTTCAGCTATCAGCATAGATTATGAAGTCTGGACAATGCCTATGTTTAAAGGACATTATGCTGTAGTGGAAAGAACTTGGAGTAGATGGTACTACTTTTTATAAGTGTGATAATAGAAAAGTCCCAAGGTTCCTTCAATTTCTCTGTAGAGTGAACATGTCCTTATACATGTATGTATGTATTCATTCACCAATATCCACTGGATATAATTGTATGCCAGTTGCTAATTCAGAGTTACAGAATACACTCTTGAGGGGACAAATCACAAAAGAGTTTATGTGCATCAGATAGTTATACGGGCTACAAAAAAGAGTGATGCAAGGCAGAGGGACAAGATTGTGGACTGGTATGTGGTGAGGTGAGGAAAATAATGAATATTGAAAAATAAACATCAGGTACAAAAAATCTAAGATTTTATGCTCCACAGGACTAGTACCATGATTTTCTCTATGAACACTGTTAAGTTGAATGTCTGAAAAGCAATAAATATTACTTAACTATTTGCTTTAGATAAAAGAAGCAATTTATGTAAAAGTGCTTCTTAATCTCTAAAACATTAAATAAAGGTTTTTATTCCAAACTCCAACTTATAAGGCTGTTTGGAAAAAAGAACTTTTTTCAGTTTCCTGAACTAGGAAAAGAGGGAGCAATAAAATACATCAATAGCATGCCCTGCAGTGTGATTAGGAGTTAGCTAGGAAAGCCCCTGGATTTTGAAAAAAGGAAAATAAATTTGTTATATCTATCTGTTTTTCCTGAAGTTCTCTGATTCATTGTTGCTGAGAAACTCAGCTTGTATTTATAGGAGATGGGGAGGAAGAAAGCAGAATAGAGATTTAATGTTGTCAGGAACTCCGTTGAGCCTGAGTCTCTGTACTCAACTAGCATACATTTAACACCACAAAGCCGTGCTTGGAAAATACAAATAAAAGCAAATATATTTTTATGAAAGTTAGATCTAGACATAAGACTCCCAGTCTGTGGCTAGACTTATCAAAGAATTACCAAAGACCACAAAACCAATATGAATTACAGTACAGAAGCTGAGCTTAGCAAATTAATATCATCTGAGATTTAGTGTTACCCATTTTAGTTTTACCTACTTCTGGTGGTGCACAATTTTAAGCATTCATGGATCAAGAAACAAGTCTAGCATATTCCTGATGGTTTATAAAAAGCATGAAGGAAATATTTGTATAATTAAACCAATTGCCCAAGACCTAGAGAATATGGAAACTCCAACAAAGCAAGGTAATTGTTATATTTAATATCTTCTTAAATTGTCTGTTAATTGAACAAGAAAATATTTACAATAAACATAAGGGCTTCCAAATACTTGTGTATCTCTCATTCACATATTTGATTTAATTTAACTGTAAATTATCAGACATTTTTACTTACTAAGAGAACAGAGTCAGGCTTCATTGAAAAGATGCCACTTGAATATAACCTCCACACTCTTCTCTCTGTCATTTAGGCACAATTGTTTTTTGGCATTTCTGTATATCTTAGGGGGGAAAAACACTAAAATGAGGCAGTGTCAGAAAAAAAACTAAAAAGAGAGGAGTTAGATGAGAGGAAAAGCTCAGGACTTGGTCTGTGAGTAGATGTGGGCAGTGGAAGAGAGGGTGATCAGCTCTGTTAGAAAGAGTGAAGAGTCTACTTTGGCTGAAACAGAAATTACTCGAACAGAAGCAGTGTCAGATATTGGCAGAATGGTCTAAATTTACTGTGCTTATCATTGGGAATCATTGAGTATTGTAACTGAGATAAGAAACTCAGTGAGAAAATTGGGTTTAGGAATTTAAAAAATGTTGATTACTTAATTTTTAGACATTATCAAATTTAACTTCTATTTAAAGTAGCTTGGATTTTTGATTAAAGATTTTCTGGTGAAAATACTCAAATCATGCTAAGTTTAGGTTTTTGAAATAAAAAATACCTTTCATGCTTATTCGGTTTATTCTTTACCCCATCCTGCAAATAATTTGAGGTGTATATAAAAAGAAATTTTAAAATAAAAGATTATTGTAAGAGAATCAACCAAAAATTCAGAATGAAGGAGACAACAGGAAGAAAAAAATATGTGTACAAGATATGCTAATGGAAAGTAAGCAAAGTATCTGCCATGAGATCCTATATAATTACTACACTGAAAAGTAAAGCCTAACGCTCTACTAACCGAAGTTGAAATAAGATCACTTAGAAAAGTTCCCAATAGTTTCAGAAGAAGGGAAGCTTTTGTGGCCATGAAGGTTTAATAAAAGAAATATAAGAACTCACTAAGGGCAAAGTAGTAGCACTCTGACCAATATTCCTATAGTAAGTACAACAACTAGCTTTCTATGGCTGTTCTTATAAACACTTTCAATATAAGCTAAAATAACAATTAAAAAATCATTTTATAAAATTAAATGTGTGGAATAAATATATTATTATGTTGTAAAGCGTGTTAGGAAACCATCCCTTCTTCTAAAATAGTTTTTCAAGTATAGCACCACTGTACTTGAAATTACATGATTTTTATCAAATTAGGAATTTTTCTATTCCTAGAAATTCACTTAAAATAAAAACATTACTGAACGGCAATACATCAAGTCACTAATTCTGCATTATTTCACTTTATTTGATTGTTTTCCTTTGACACTGAAACCTAAGCAATATGAAATTTGCCTCATGTGGAGTCCTTGAATTTCTGAAGAATTTGATTTGAGAAAGGTGAACACATTTGATCGAATTTTAAGTCATGCTTAGGAATGGTCCTTTCTAACATCAATTTAGCCCATATTAGGGCAAATAATATTGGATTTTCTCCTCACAATGGCATAGACTATATGTTTGTTGGTGTTTTACCCCTGAATTATCATCAGAAATTAGTTCATTTAAACAATATGATTTAGACTCTCTTAGGGTTAAGATCAAACATGAACTTTTTTTCCTCTGAAAGGATACACATTTAGAGTTGAAGAAAAGGAAACAAAACAAATGCTGTTATCTATTCCTTCCCACAAGTTATTAATATTTTTGTGTTCTTATGTTCAAGGTTCATGTATCTGTAAGAAGCTAAGGAAGGGCTTCCTGAAATGAAAAATAAAACAAAAAAAAAAAACAAAAAACAAAACCCAACCCTCATGGCTCCACCTCATGAGAGAAAAAGACCACAGACTGACAGATATTGAAATCATAAAAGTGGATACTACATTTTGCCAAGTCATTGGGCCCTGAGCTCACTTGCAGTGCAAAGAACGCCATGCAGGATGAAGACGGATACATGACCTTAAATTTCAAAACTCGAAAACCAGGTCTCCCAACAGGTAAGAATGCCCCAAGCCAGTGATTTGAAAATTAATTATTGAAAAGGTCAACCCTAGTTCCCCCCATCTTTTTTTAACTAATAATATAGCACATATGGTTTTATTTTCCTGAATAACCTTCTTTTTCTACAGCATTTGAATAATATCTACATAGGATCAGGTAGACTTGTTTAGACTATAAACAAGAAAACATACAAGCAGGGAACACTACTTTAGGCTTATAGAGTTTAATGCCAGAGGGAATAGAAACCATGGGGATAAAGGGAGAAAATGTTTGAAAAGCCTATTTTTTAAAGATGTCAGCAAATGATTATGATTCTCTATGTCTTGCTTATTAAAGCAATTATTTAAGGTTATGACCACAAAACAAAACAAAGACAAACACCCAAGATCTTAACAGCTAGTTAAATTTTGACTCAGAGAGAAGTCCTCTGAGGATGGGAATGTATGTTGAGGGGGCATGGGTTGTGCTTGCTGTTGAGGATCACCAGGAGGACACTGGCATGGTCTGCCAGTGATGTTCGCATCTCTCAGAGAAGCCTCAGAGGGTGGGTTGGGAGTATGGCTGTCCCAGAACTATGCCACACTGCCTGCCCCCTGACTTCTTTATTGTTTGCCCACAGTGGACCCTGCTTCTTCATCATTGTGGCGTGTGATGGCTTTGGTGCTGCTGTTCTTGTGCATTGCACTGGTTGTTGGGCTTGTGGCTCTAGGGGTGATGTGTAAGTATTGACTCATTGCCAAAGATTACATCTGAGAAAGGCAACTTCTAAGGATCCTGGTGTATGCCACTAAGCTAATTTGTCACTGTTTATTTGTCACTACTCCAATCTTCCTATACATGACTGCCAAGATCCTTTCACTAAAGGGAAACTCTTTTTCCTTTAGATTAAAATCATATTTTTAATTTTTTATTAGTTAAACATTATTTGTAATGACTTTAAACTAGTCCTTGAGTTTCTCCTCAGCATAGACCCACATAATCATTTGAAACTTCTTCCCCTTATCCTGTATATCTTAAGATCCAGCCAACATGGAATTTTCTCAGTTTCACAAATAAATTCTGTCCCTCTGCCTGAGATTTGGCTCATTCCATTCCCTCTTTCTAAAATTTCCTCCTTCCCATTTTGTTTAGTAAGTGGATTTACTTCCACTGAGAGATAAGTTATATACCACCTAATTTATAAATATTTTTCCTAAAAGCCCTTCAGTGTCATATATATCATCTGTGTTGCTGTTGCTTGTGATCTTGTTTATTTTGGTGATATTTTAGAATTATACATTCACCATTTTTATTTATCTGCACATCTGAGTACTTTCTGCATTAAAAAAATCAATATGTATTTTTAGTACCCAAATTTACTTAGTTTCCAAACATATACATATATACATATATACAACAAATTACCTCAAGATTTCTTTTTTTATTGTTGTTCTTTTACAGTTGTCCCAATTTCCCCTGTTGTTCTCCCCTGCCCTGCTCACCACAGTCAACCCCCACCCTGTTGTCCAAGTCCATTTATCCTTGGTTCTTTAACTAGACCCTTCCTCTCGTCCTTCCCTTATCCCCCTCCCCCTTCTTCTCTGGCCCCTGTCAGTTGGTTCCTTGTTCCTACGCCTTCAATATGTTTTTTTTTAATTAAATGGGTATTTTGGCATTACATGAAAAATAAAATAGCAGAGTTTCTTCACCTTTGTGAAATCCACCTAGAAATCTGTATTTAAGGAAACGTTCAAAACAACCGCTGTGGGCATGTGATTTGATCATGACATTTTCTTATGTGTGATTATCTCCTTCCAATAGTTCACTTATTCTTTTGGATAATCCTTAGCTGTCATTTTTTTATGCCTCTCTTTTCCCTGACCACCCTTGCAGCGCTCATTTACTCATGTGCATTTGTAAATACTTTATACACTGTTAATCCTAGTGAAATTACTTCATTAGATGGTCTTTGAATTACCCTTAATATCCTTTATTACAAATCATTAACCAATTTTTACATGTAGTTGCCACGCAGCAAAACTGCATACAAATTGTGAATAAAAGTCTCTCAGGAATTCCACAACAGTTAACAAAGCCGTCCTCCCAAGGTTTAAGAAAACAATCAAAAGAAAAGGATGATTTCAGTAAGTATCATTTTGTAACCTCTTTATTTCCCCTACTCCTGAAGTTTTTCTGTGATGGTATCTCTGGGAAATCTTGAGATTGATAGGAAACATTGAATTTGGGGGAAAAGTAAACCCTATTTAGAATAAAAAGATTCCTATCCTTGATTTCTCTTTAAGGGCATAAGAACATCACATGTGCCCCAAACTGGAGACTCTATGGAGATAGGTGCTATGGGTTTTTCAGGCAGAACTTAACCTGGGAAGAGAGTAAGCAGTACTGTATCAATAGGAGTGCCACTCTGTTGAAGATTGACAGCCAGAGCATACTGGTAAGGAAATTCCTATGGCAAATATTTTGAAATCATAAGAAAAAAACCTGAAGTGAAACATGCTTTCCAGTTTGTGATGATCTGAGAAACTTATCAAGTTTGGTAAAAATTACATTTTTTTTTTACTGAGTACTTTTCATTCTACAAGTGAGCTTGCTACAATTCTAAATATCAAATAAAATTAATTAACATAGACATATAATATAACTTTTTTGGTTCCAGAGTATTATAATGAGAGGCTTTGTCTTTATGAATTCCAAGAACTGTATATGCATTCTGACCATTATATTTATCTGTGTCTACAACAGGGATACATCAAATCCAGGACTTCATTAATTCGTTGGGTTGGATTGTCCCGCCAGAACTCCAATGAAGACTGGAAGTGGGAAGATGGTTCAGTTCTCTCCAAAAATGTGTAAGTCATTGGAATCTCAGAGTACAAGGCACAACTACCAAGTTTTATTCTTGAGATACTTTATCCTTTTGAGTACAAGTTACTTAAAGTTGGGAGGTAGGCTCTATGCCCTACTGTGAGTTACATAAGCAGAAGGTGGACAATTTACACCATAATCCTAACAAAGGAACACTGGTAGTAAGACAATTCTACTTTTTCTATTCTCCCAGTCCTCTGTTGTTTATCACATACACCCCTAATTCCCAATATTTTTTCTCATGTATTTCTATTAACTACTTTAGTCTTTACTATGGAATATATTATATTTTTTAACTCAATCTAATTCTCTTCACATATTTTTAGAACAAAATTTTATGGTTGAAAGTTACTTGTGGATTTTTTTGACTTTTTAGTAACAGTGACCTAATCTTCCACCCTAGGGGTCTCCAAGAATCAGGCATATCATCATTCACAAAGTGGTTCTAATGTCCACGTCAGAAAGCTCCATTGTTCCACAAATAATCCAAGCAAAGGGGCCAATTATGTTGAGTTATTTAATGTGTTTTTTCAATCTTCAGTCTCAATACCTTTTGTTCATCTAGTATATCATAACTGCAGTATCTCTCTCATTAAAAGTTAAATTGATTAACCAAAATTTGTACAATCTGATTATTACAGAAATCTTTAGTTAATTTATTTACAAATATTTATTAAGTATTTATTATGCATAGGAGATGAAGGTCCTACAACTACAGCGAGACTTTTCATGGACCTTGGACTTTATCTCTCAGCACTTGCTGCCTCATTCACAATATTGCAAGCAAATTGGTATTCCCTCTGTTCTTTCAACAAAATCAGTATCCCCCAACTATAATGTAAGTTCCCCAACAGAAGGGACCTTGTCTTAACCACTTTATCACCACCACAGAAAACAACTTTGGTACATGCTAGGTATCCCATAGATATTTGGCAAATGAGTTAATAAATGCACATGTTTTATTTTCTTATCATAAACAATGTAGTAGAGAGAATAAACAACAAACAACCACAATATAGTGTGCAGCCTTATATTTGCTACCTTATAACATAAACTTTTATTTAAAAAATATTTAATCAACTTATTTTTCCATGAACTCATTTCCATCCTGTGCAGCCACTTGCCCTACGAGGCTCTCCTGTCTCCTCCCTGCTCATCTAAATCCTACCCTTTCTTCAAGACAGACTCAAGGATTATCATCTATAACAATATAAAATGATAAAGTCTTTCCAATCGCTTCAGCTCCCCATCCATCTCGTCCTGTAGACTACTATTCACTTGCAACTACTTGCACTATTCAGTTGTACTACTGTTCACTTGCAGCTTAATCTTATTTCACATGAAATTAGGAATTTAAATGTACATAGCACTGAGCAATTCAAATGTACATAGTTTATACTTAGAAGAAGGTTGGTAGTCTCTCAGCCATCTGAATGTTGTCTCTAACTTTATTTTTCCCGTATTTTTGCCTCCATTTTATGTAACAAAATTACACATACAGTTTGATTGTTTGTTGTTTGGCTTTCAAAGAACTCACTCTACCTTTTCCATTCACAGGTCTAAATTTTCTGAAAACGCAGGAGAAAACATGAATTGTGCTTATTTTCATAGTGGGAAAATTCATCCTACCTTCTGCCAGAACAAACATTATTTAATGTGTGAGAGAAAGGCAGGCATGGCAAAGGCGGGCAAACAACTTTAATGCAGAAAGATGGGTCCGATGTCACAGACAAGTGTTTGATTGTGTAATAAAAGTTCTGGATGAAAGCATCACTAGCCATAAAATTACTTATTTTTCCCTTTATTCCCCTTGTAGTCATCTTTACATTATATTTTTTACCAGTACCAGTTAGTCCTTTCTTTATGCAACCCATTATACTGAAGGATTACTAAGTCTCCTTTTTATACGTCCAAAAGATTCCAAATTCCTCTCTCTTTTTATTAATTTTCTTCTTGCCTTCCATTTCTAATTATCTCAAGGTTTTATGACTCACTACATCTTCAGACATAAACACATACATTTTAAGTTGGAACAAGAAAAGTTAGGGCTTAGTTGACTTAAGCGGTAAAAAAGATTCAGGTTTGAAAACTATATAAAATATCTAAGTTTGAAAGCATAAGGCAGTGGAAAGAATATGAAACTTGTAATCTGTAGAATAATTTAGATGGTGTGATCACTTACTTAAAGTGCAACCATGTAGTGTCTTTAACTTCCTTTTCCTTATATTTAAAATAAGATAATACCTAGCCGATATACCTCACAGTTCTACCACATAAAACTTCAGAGCATCAACTGTATCAGAAACTCCATGAAGGCAGACACCATGACTTTCCTATCTGCTCTCCTATGCCCAACACCAAGAACAGTTTCTGCCTCACAAGGAACAGAAATATTTGATTTTCATGGTGTGAGATAATTCATTATAAAGCACCACAATCAGTAAAACACTATACAAATATAATTTCTATTACAAGTGTAACCCTTGTAAGACTCAACAGCAGTGATTTTTTTGTGTGCAAAGAAGGAATATAAAGTTTGCAAGAAGCCTGATGGGGGTTTAAAATGAGTAAATGGTTCTTAACAAAGCCATAGGCTAAGAGACAGAACAGCCAGTCAAAATACTTTATCTAGTTCTTTTCCTGAGAGTTCTATACTTGGTTTTTGCTGAGTAGCTCATGAAATATTTATAAATATGTGGAAAGTCACCCTTTAACAGGATAACAGGCAAAAATTGCATTTCCTTGCCACAGTTTTTCTGAATGTAATCTTTCTTCTTAAATTAGTGATGATAAAATTTATAAACATGATTCTCAAACATCTAAGCTGAGATGTTTGTTAAAACATTAGATATTCAAATACAAATAGTTATGGTACTCAATTAAAAGGCTGAGGAGACAGCCCTATCTTTTAATAAGCTCCCCTACAAGCCATCTTTGATATATTTCAAGAAACATTACTTTAGAACTTAAACACTATGTGGCTTTTGGTATGTTACTTAGTCTCATTCAAATTCAGTTACTTCATTTATAAAATGAGTTTACTATTACTACCTTACTCATAAGGTAATTGTGAGGATTATTAATGTAATTATATAAAGTATTAAGCAGAGTACCAAGCATGTAATGAATGTAATAAATATGTACTAATTTTATAGCTTTGTATACTAACATTTAAAGACACTTTAAAAAATACCTCAGATTCTGTTTCTACTTTAAATGTCTTAAGATCTTGGCTTTGGGAGGTTAGTATCATTATTTTTATATTTTTACTTGTTTTTTAGAGAAACCAAATAGGAAATTATAATTCTAAAAACTGCTTAAAAAGCAGTCATATCTCTGGACTCTAATGTCTTATCTCTTCTAAATCAAATAAACAGATTTATACATCACTATGGCAGAGCAAAATTTCAAATACAATATCGTAGTGCATGGCAAAAATGCAATATAAAAAATGTAGCCAGAGTCTTTTTTATTTTTATTATTTATACTCATATCAAAAGCATTTTATATATGAAGTCAGAATAGTACAGGTACTGTGATCAGACAACCTAGTTTTAAATACTAACTCTTTGACTTCAGTAAATAACTTGACTTCTCTGTGCCTCAGTTTACAATGAAGTTACAATACTAATAGTAGTACCTATTTTATAGAGTTGTTGTGATAATCAGAATAATTCATCTCAAAGCCCTTTGAAACAGTGTTTGGAGTATAATGAATAAGAAATAAGAAATAGTATGATTAAAACCATCAAATGTGACACAAGTAACATATTAATCTTTTACTGCGAGAGCCCAGTGGTTCCCAAAGAAATTTATAGAGAATACACTGTATTTGGAAAAACCAGATCTTTTTCAGCTTCATAGTTGGTGCTGATAAATTCTGAGAGAATCTGGAAATTACTGACAACACTTCAAACTCTGTTCCTGACTTTAGTCCTAATATATATTTGATATACTTTTGGTTTCTTTCTTTTTTCGCTTGAAGATAAGAATCATTTCACTGATTAAGTCACAATTAGTTTTCAGATCAGAATCTCAGGTCACATGAAAGTCACATCAAATATTTGGAGAATTTTCTGAACATTCTTTATTTGCTTAAAGAGATCTTCTTATCCCCACACTGTGCCTTGGGAGGCAGAACACAAATGAACAGAACAGCTTCACTTGGGCAGCATTGGCCTCTGGCTTCCAGCTAAGCCAGCTGCAGGGAGGTGCTGTCAGTGATCAGAGGGTGGAGGGAGAGAGTGGTCAGGGGACTCATTCCCCAGGCTCTCTTTCTACTATGTCTTGGTTTGGCAAAGGCTGGTGTTTTCTGTCTTGGACCATGGCCCCTGTCAGGTCACAAAGTTCCATTAAACACTCTTTTCTTAACCCTTCAGGACTAAAGGTAATAACAGCATTCCAAAATGTATATCACCTTCCCCCTTTGCTTCTGTTAATCTTTCCCAAAACTTTATAAACAGCATCTGTATCATTGCCCTTATATTACCCTTGAGTGCCATTTGTTTCCTTCTGCTACAGCGATCAATGACTGATCTAGTGAAACACTGAAACAAAACAGAACATTGCAATTTTGCAGACTGTTGGGATTGGCAGGCTGTAAATTATTGAAATATGACCTTTGGCCATATAGACAAATAACCAATGACAAAGTATTGAATTTCTCAATACCAGAGCAATAGTCACAGGATGTGGCAGAAACGGCCATTTGTCTACTAAATAATTCATATTCCCTGTCTAGAGTGAAGTTGACATAGAAAGTTTGCTAGCTAGGCAAAAGTTATATTATCAGAACCAACCTTTAGATCCAAGGGCATTACATTAGTGCATGTGAAGGTAATACATGTTACTTCTAGGTTACGGCTTTGAAGCAGCCGATGTGGATTTTCCACCTTCTCTTCTGTTCCAATGGCTAGAAGTAGAGGACTTGAATGTTTCACAAGACAGAAAGAGCCTGGGTTCCATTGGATGAAAACTACCCACTAACCAGGATTACTAGAGCTAGAATGTTATGTGAACAAGAAATTAACTTCCATTGTGTCAAATGACAGACATTTTGCTCTTTACTTGTCACAGCAACTGCATTAGCCTAAGCAATACAGTTTATCAATTTATTTTAGGGATGCAATCCCTTCCCTGCTTTCTTACTTAAGGATACAAAGTGATCTACATCTTACACCCTGGGTTGCCCATGTTCTTGTATCTTTGCTATTTAGATTAGTCCCATACTTTGTGTTCTATACCAAATATAAGTGCATTTTTTGTACTTATTTTCATGTTAACAGTGATACAGTGTGATTACCTTCAGGATCTGCCACGTCTTAGAAACCAGACTAATAACATGTTTGATCATTGGCCGCTTGGATTCAGTTCCCTTCTCATTTCCTTCTTTAGCAGGTTGTGCTTTGGCTTAAACTTTATAAACTTCTACTTTCTGGATGAAGATGCATTTATTCTATTCCTTAAACCCTCACATTTTATGTAAAAATAGCCAATTTCAGTTCTTTCACCAATCTGTTCCCGACTGCAAAAGGAGTTACTTGTCTTAGCTTCTCGTATGGACCGCCTCACCTATCAAAGCACCTCAGACATGCAGGGTGAAGAAATCTATACTTCCCTTCAGTGGGATACTCCGGGGCCAAGCCCGTATCAGAAACATCTGTCTTCCACCAAATGTTCAGGTAACCACTCTATTTAATCCAAGACTTTGCAATTTATGTTTTATTTCCTGTTATATTTTGAACCCAGGTGATTTTTCTAATGAGGCAACCCATGTTAGAGTATGGTAATATGCATGATATGCTAACATTAAAAAAATAAACAGTGAGAAGGGTAAGTAAAGATGAAAAGGCAAAAAGACTTGGCAAATATGTACTACTTACTCTCAAAGAGAAAGAATTCCTGGATTTGGGGGGGAAAGTGAAAGAAATCATATTTTTATTGCTTCAGTTTTTGCATAAAATACTCCTTCACAAATTATCTGATAAATATTAAGAAATAAAGAGAAAACAGACAGTGAAAAACTGGCAAGCTCTTGTCAGCCTGGAACTGTCTGCTATAGTAATCAGTTCTGTCTGTCTTTATTAAGTTTAATATTTGTATTAGTTTCCTATCGTTGAGGTAACAAATTACTACAGACTCAGGAGCTTAGTACAACACAGACGTATTGCCTTACAGGTCTAGAGATGAGAAGTCTGACAAGGGTCTCACTGGGCTGCGATCTAGGTGTTGACGGGGCTGCGTACCCTCTAGAGGCTCTAGGAAAGAGCCCATTCCCTTGTTTGTTTCCAGTTCTAGCGCTGCATTTTCTGCTTCTCAAGGCTCACGGCTTCTTCCTCTATATTCAAAGAAGCAGTATCATGTCTTCTTCCATCATTGTATCACACTCTGTCCCTCTGATCTCTCACCTCTCACTTATAAGGGCCCAGATAGAACAGAATAATCTCCCCATCCTAAAATCATTACTTTACTTCTTCAAAGTCTCTTTTGCCAAATTAGGTAATATTACATGTTCCAGGGATTAGGACCTGGGTATCTAGGGCTGGTCTATTATTCTGCTAACCACACCATTTAAAGATACATTTTAGAATATAACCAATTACACAAGCTTCATTTATCCTTCCAGAACAGTTGCAAAATTACCTGGAAAAAAATGTTCCTCATCTAACACTATATGTTTAGAGAGAAATATCTTGGAATCAATCATGTTCAAGTGACACTTAAGAGAGATGAGGAGATACAACACAGCAAACATAACTAGTTAGTAAGGTTGTGGTGTCATATGAGGGTAAGAGAAGTATGTTATTGAATCTGTTCAATTTAACATTTCTTGCAATCAAATGTAATCCAAGTTATAACTTGAATTTCAAAAAGTTTGAGTTCTCCTTTTCCTGTTACAGTTACATACCCTCGACCATTCTGTGGTTGAAATGCCTATGATTGATTCCTTCTTTCACACAGTATAGTCTCTTCCTGGCCCAGCCTTTCACCTACATTTTCTAACTCAGTTTTATTGTTCCTGCTCCTTATTTAGGAACACGGTGTCTTGTGATGGTGATATCATGTATTATCTGTGTGGGCTCAGTAGCAGCCTCCATTTTCTTGGCTATTAAGTGTAAGTATAAAAACTACTTTCAAAATAATCTACATATATTATACAAGGCATCTAGTTTCACAGAAAATTATATATGTACATTATAATAAATAAAACTTCATGATTTATAAATGGATACATAAATCAATTACAAATATTTAAATGCATATAAATGGCAAAATAATGACTTCCTAATTTAATTAATGGAACATTGATTTGCTCTAACACTTGGAATACTTGAATGCTGTTATAACTTTTAATGTTCAATTGTTTGTTTTTTAACTCAAATCTAACTCCATAAGTCTCTTTGGGAACAGTCATGTAAATATTTACCCATATTATGATTCAGTCTGTGAATTGTGTTAGCACGCCAAAGTATGCAAGGTGAAACATTTTAGTAAATGCTCTACCTTTGCTAATATGCATTTATTCTAAACTTGACTTGTGTAAATTATTTTAATATGAGTTCATTTTTTACTTTATATTAGATAAGGTACAATTTAATGTTTACTGCAAGCCTGAGAACTTTATTTGACTAATATTCAATCACATTTATTTATTCCTTTTAGTCCAAATTTGATATGTCTTTTACCTCTAGCAAGTAAATTTTTTATGAAATACAGTAATTATAAAGCTGTGGTTTCCAGAAAAATGACTAAGACCTTTATCATCACTCATGGTAGCACTAAGAAATTTGCTGAGACAGAGATGAAGGTTATTGTCAAGATAATTTTTCTTTCTTGTGTGCTTTAGCAAATCATTTTCTACCTAGCAGGCATTAGCTGGTGAGGGAGAATTATGAGTCCTGAAATGAGGAAGCAAAGGGTTCAGATTTGCTTCCATAAGGTATAAGAAACTTGACCTTGTTCATGTTAGTTATGAATTCATTTTCCTGATGGTACTGAAAGGAATGATTTAATAATTTGTTGAAGCTCAAAAAGTAATTATAACCTTGGTTATCTCCCCAAATAAAATTTGCAGGCTATCCTAAGTGTTAGAGATTCCAGAAAGATTTCCTTATCTCACCCAATCTTCTGTCTGTGCTTTATGAAAAAAAAAAAGTGTGTGTATACATATATGTATGTGTGTGTGTATATCATCACAAATGCCAGCTTGTTTTTAAAGAAATTCACATTTAAATATCTGTTTACCAAGAAATATACTGGAATCATATCTGCAAAGTTGAAAGAGAACTAGCAGATAAGTGAATTGACATATAATAATTTAGTTTCTTCTGTAAAAACTGGGAACTTTTAATAGAATATTGTGCCAAGTTTTATTCTAACTAAAACAAGCCATATTTTAAAAATGAATTCATATTTAACTGACTTTACAAATATCAAAAGATATGGTTTAAGTATCAACTATGCATAATAAATGTTAGTGTTTAAACTACTTGGGATAAGAAGATAAAAGAAACTACAAAAAACACTTTCAATGAAAAAAATTAACTGAAAATGCAACATTTTCAAGCAACATTGTCAAATGACTAAAATATAGAACTTTTAATATGAAAATAAATTAATATCTAATCAGCAATTATTACCTAATCTAAAAGTATACAGTACATACTAAAGATGCTAATAAAAATACTGTGCATTTTTCATGTTCTCAACAAATTTGCTGTATAGTGGATACTTAATTTTTCTTTTCTGCATAGTTCATAAAACCTATTTAGATAATCAAGATAATCATGTTCTTAACAAACTCTGGTTATCTTAAATAGTATTAATTGATTTTGACCCAGAAATCCCACTTTTGAATGTTATTTTCTGTAGATAAACCTGCATGTGTAGCAATAAGGGGGACAAAAGATTAGATGGAACTCAAATGCTTATCCTTAAGGGACCATTTAAATTCATGACATGTACACATTACGGAATATGATAAAGCAAAGAGGAAAAGGAAGAGGGAGGGGAGAAGTAGGAGTGGTAAATTTAAAGGTGAATTGAAGTAATTTCTTGTTTTCATCTTACTGTTGTATTTTCTGTTTTTCTCTACCATATTACTTAAGTTAATTGTCTTACTATTTTAAAAACTCTATAGTGCAAAATATTGCCTAAGAATTCAGATTTTTTCATTTGTTTTTAAATATTCTTTTTCATTTTCCTGATTCATCAATTAGGTACAACATATAACATCTTAAAACAAATGCTGTTACTGTCTTTCTCTTTCTTCATAAAAATATGTTGTATTATATTTTCCCAGGTAATCATATTGTTTAATCTTCATTACTTAATGCAAATTAACTATAACCGCAATAGTAATAAAGGTGCAGTACGTTCCTTCTCACTTGGGAAGAACTAAAGAAAAGTCTCATTTCCCTTTCTCAGTTTTATTACAGTTTTATGTAATATGAGCCTTTCAAGTATTAATAAACAAAGCAACAATAACCTTAAAAATATAGCTAATCTAAGATATTCAACTAAATTAAAATTTTTAGAATAATACTTCAAATTCCTAAAAGGAAGATTATTATTTTTCATTGTCTACACAAGCAAAATTATTGATGAGATAAAATGCATAACACCACTGTCCTACTCGCTGCTCTGGTTAGATGCAGCCTTTTGTTAGGAAGGACAAAAGCCACGGACAGCCTGGGCCACTTGCACTGCCAACAGATGGACAGGGCACGGGCACCTGTTTTTCTAGTCCATGGCTCTGGGGTTTTAGCGTTTTCATGTCAGTGGCAATGTTGATGACTAAAATAGATCAGAATATGCAGATGTGCAATTAAATATTTGATTACGAATGTTGGCTTGACCAGTTAATTGGGAGACGAACAACATGCAGGTGCAAATTGCTTTTTTTACCCGCAAACTTCCCCTTCATGACAATAATCTCTATTAGGAACAGAGCAAAACTGTAGCCAAGTCTGCCCTGAGACAGAGCTGACCGGCATGTGTGCCATTATAAACCCAAAAAAAGTCAGGGACAGCTGGGCAAAAGTAATATTGTAAGATGCAGTGGATAAGTATTTTCTATAATTAACTAAAAACACTGAGCCACCAGTTCTAGAAATTCTACAAAAATCAAGTAGGATAAAAAAAATCAATATCAATATTGAGAAAAATATTTAACAAAATAGGAATAGATGCTTTATAACATGATTTTTCAAAAGAACTGGCTCAATAAGTTAGCCAGACTTCTCAGATGACAACCACCTAAAATTCATGTAAATGTAATATGAAAATAGGAGGATTGGGCTTATCAGATATTAAAATAAATTAAAACCCTAAAATAACTAGGGCTGTGTGGTGCTGACATGTAAGATAAGTAGGTGAATTGAATATACTTAGAACAATAGAAATATTGCCTAATGAAGTACTTCATTAGAAATTCACAACAAGTTAAAGATGGCAACTAAAGAGTATGGAGAGGAAAGATTCAATAAATGATATGAGAAAATATGTAGCCATTTAGGGGGAAGAAGTTGAAGTCATATCTTACAATTTACAACAAAAAATTCCAGCAACATCAAAAAGTAAATATAAAATAAACATCAAAGTTTAATCTCTAGCATAACAATTTTACTAAAAGTGACCAAAAAAATCTGATCAATGTGGGGTAAACTACAACAAGCCAGGTCAAAAGACAAACCGGGAAAATGTCGCTGTAGCTTATATCACACATGAAGCGAACTCTATCAAAATATAAGTTACACTACTAGAATCAGTTAAACAGGACTGGCTGTTACAGAGGACTTGTGGAACCATGAGGCCCTAAGTCACAGTGCTTACAATTCTACAGTTCACTACAAGAAGACGATATAATTTAACAACAGCAATAAAGTAAGGATAAAGATTACAGTAAGAGGTCTGGGGAGACCAGGTATAGGCAGGCACCCTTTCCTCCCCTTGTAATGTCCTTTCAGAACACAATTTCTTTCAATCAGAAAAAGCACCGTGGTATACACAGAGCACCGTGGTACCAGGGAGCCCCAAACGGAGTCTTGCTGGGAATATTTACATTTTCCTGACCACACATGCATATTCCTGCAAAGTAACCACTCTCAACAGCAAAGATTTCTCAGGGTCTCCTTGTAACCAGGGGCAAATCATCAATCATATGTCATCAAGAAACGGTGCTGACAAGCTAGTATAATCTGTCCCCCAAAATCTCAGACTGATGATTACTAAGCTATGCTATTAGTATGCTTGATACTTTGTCCAGAGGTCAGTTACATGCGGGAACTTTAGAAGCCCTGCCCAGGCAGGTTCTAGGCCTGCCTGAATTGACCCTTATGGCACAATAAGGGCCTCATATGAAACAGAAAGGAAAAGACGAGAAACCCAATGAAAAAAATTACATAGGATATAATTACACACTGCATAAAAAAGAAATACAGCTGACTTTTATTTACATATACACAAAAAATTCAACATCAAACATAAGATAAATGCAAATTTAAATGATATTGAGGTATCATTGTCAGCATATATGGCCCTCCACATTAGATACACTCAGAAGTATCTAATATGGCTTAAATAAGCGCACATAAACTGTTCTAGCAATTTATCTTAAAAATGTACTTGCACACATGTAAAATTCTGTATAATTAAGGTTACTTATTACAGTATTTATCTCTACAATACCAAAAGATTACAAAAGTCAATGAAAAATCGCTCAACTAAATTGTGATACATTCCATACATGACAGATCCATACAAGGGTATGCTATACAGTTATAGTGAAATGATCAGAAAGCTCTTTATATACTGGCATAATATTATGTCCAAAATAAATTTTAAGGGATAAAATAAAAGGTACAAAACCAAGTAACCCAATTGCTACCATTTGTGTAAATGTGAGTAAGGGCATTTAATGTTCATTTTCAAAATTCAAAATTCCTCTAGAAGAATGAAAATAAAACTGGTAAGCCTGGCTGCTTTGGAGGAATAGAGCTGGGTGACTAAGAAGACAGGGGCAGCAAAGACACTTTTTTCTGTGTACCCTTTTTAGTTTTTTATTCTTGAACTATATAAATTGTTTTTGTTTTCAAATAAGTATCAATTTTACTAATAAAGCCTTTCCCACATTGTAGTAGACTGTTCTGCATGGTGTGGGCCCAGCACCCACTTGGAGATACACAGGACCCATGCCCATGAATAGGTTCTCCTGTGGAAAATCAGGCCTGCGATGAACCTAGTCTTGCTTCTTGCTAAAACTCCCTCACCCTGAATTAAGGACATTTACTCCAAAGCAACTTCCTACAATCCATGCTAAACCTTCCAAGGATGAGTGTAACAGTCCAACTACTTTTGCCTTTTCATTTGCAAATATCCTTCTTCTGTGATGTGATTAGCAGCATTGGCTCCTTTGTTTTCTGTAAAAAGTAACCACCTAAGGCGAGCCTGTGCATAGTTAATGAGGACCTTCTTGTAATGTGCCCAGTAAGACAATAAAAGCTCGTTGGAGGAAGGGCTGAGGCTTTTGCTCCCCTTGAGAGAAAAGCCATGCCATCCATTTTCCTTCACTGGATTTGATAATCCGTATGAATGTCTCATTTCATCCATAATGACTCGGACCCCATGAGCTGGGTCCATATCACCACATTTCCTTTAGATATGTATTTTTTAAAATTTTATTTTAATCATTGTTCAAGTACAGTTTTCTGCCTTTTACTCCCATCACCCACCCACCCATCCCTCCCCACTTCCCTCCCATTTTGACCCCTCCCTAGTTTTTGTCCATGTGTCCTTTATATTTGTTCCTATAAACCCTTCCCATTCTCCCCTGAAATTACCCTGAAATTCCCTCCCCTCTCTCTGGTCACTGTCAGCCTGTTCTCTAGTTCAGTGTCTTCGGTTATATTTTGCTTGTTTCTTTGTTTTGTTGTTTAGGTTCCTGTTAAAGGTGAGATCATATGGTATTTATCTTTCACTGCCTGGCTTATTTCACTTAGCATAATGCTTTCCAGTTCCATTCATGCTTTGCAAAGGGTAGGAGCTTCTTCTTTCTTTCTGCTGCATAGAATTTCATTGTGTAAATGTACCATAGTTTTTTGATCCATTCATTTACTGATTGACACCTAGGTTGCTTCCAGCACTTGGCTATTGTAAATTGTGCTGCTATGAACACACAGAGGATCCAGAGACACATGAAAAGATGCTCAATATTGCTAGCTATCAGAGAGATGAAAATTGAAACCACAATGAGATACCACTTCACACCAGTCAGAATGGACATCATAAACAAAGCAACAAACAAGTGTTGGAGAGGTTGCGGAAAAAAGGGAACCCTAGCTCACTGTTGGTGGGATTGCATACTGGTACAATCACTATGGAAAACAATATGGAATTTTCTCAGAACACTAGAAATGAATCTGCCTTTTGACCCAGCAATTCCACTGCTGGGATTATATCCTAAGAACCCTGAAACACCAATCCAAAAGAACCTATGCACCCTAATATAGATCTGTATTTTTAATTTTATTTTTCAATTACAATTTAAATTCAACATTATTTTGTATTAGTTTCATGTGTACAGCACAGTACAGTAGATAATTCTTAAATAATGCAATTTTTAAATAAATATCATGCAAATAAAGTCACAAAAAATCATTAGTAATGGGTGGTTACCTTTAGACTGTGTTGAAGAATGACTCATAACTTGTCAGGAATGTATTAGAAATGGTTCTTGGTTCTTCTTGTTTGAAGGGTTCCAGCTGTCCACTATTGCAAAGAAGCAGGAAGAGAAGCTCACCCAGCAGGACATAGCACTGTCGAACTTCACACAGTGGAAGAGAAGCCATGACCTCCAGATAAAGTATTACCAAACCTTGATGCAAAGCCGTTCCAGTTCAGGTAACTGATATTGGAAATAAGTTTCTATTTTGCAGGTGCGAATGTATGCACCAAATCTTTTTAAAAAAAAAACAAAACAATAACAACCCAGCAGTGACACACATTTCATTCTCTAGAAAATCATAGTCAGCATTGTATAATAGAAGAGACATAACTATGATCCACTCTTCAGTTCAATCTTATTTATGTATGTCAGCAGTATGTAGAAAATACAGAGGTTCCAAGAAACGCAGATAAAAAAAACATTCACTCAAATTTCAAAGTGAAATTTGTGATATTAGTAGGTAGAGTCTTATCCAATCATTTAAATGTATGTGTTTCTTTAAGTGTTGTTCCAAATTACTCAGTATTACTCAAAATATTTTATTCAAAGCTTCTGTCTGCAGCTGTTGTCCAAAAAACTGGATTCAGAATGGAAAAAGTTGTTACCATGTCTTTGAAAATTGGAAAATTTGGCAAAACAGCAAAGAGGATTGTTGGAAGGAGGGCTCTGATCTTCTACAAATAGAGAGCAAAGAAGAAATGGTAAACACTGTCTTATGGTTTCATGTCATTCTGAAAATAGCGTGTTACCCATTAAAAGAAAGGAATGATTGTAATAAAATAGAATTTCTTAATATTTTATAACGGTAATTTAATAAAAGTTTAAAAGAAACAAAGTAAAAATTAGTATGGTTTGTGTTCCTTTTAATTGGATAAACCAACAAGAAAGCAGGATACTATCCCAAAATCAAGGAGCATATGTTAGTTCTGTCCTTTGTTAATCAAAAATGGGAAGGAGTAAAAGAAGTGCCATTTTGTGACATGCTAATCTACTGTAAGATACACATACATTATGATTGTATATGTGTTTTAAATAATTATGTTTAATGATGTAAAGAAGTATAATAACCTATTAAATTTTTTCAATTATTATGGAAAATCAGAAGTATAAAAAGTGAGGTGATGTCATGAAATGGAAAGGTGTGTGAAAATAAGCATTTACTAAATGAATTGTTTAATTGACATTTAACCCAATTTACTAATATTTTAACAAGCAAACACTAAGATGTTTTTCTAAAATCATTTTACCTATATATATGTGTGAAACAGAATGCATGGTTACACATTACTGGCCTTATTAAAAGCTATGCAACTATGTTCAGTAATTAGTCAAAGTTCATTTTTACAAGAATAATGGGAGAGAAATTCATTAAGTATATGCAGTAAAGAAGGCAACTCGAACTAACTTATTACAATATTGGGTTTTCACTATGTTTTCTGTGTGAATTTGTTGACAAATGTTAGCCATGTTTCTTCTAATACAATATGCCTTTAGTTAAGTTGCTTCTGGAATCTTTTAAACTATTTTTCATATAGAAGTCTACTGGGAAGGAATGATCTATGTGCTCTGTGTTGTCAAGGATATTTTATCTCTTCTTCTGATAATGAGAGTTCAGTATGACATTTACCTTTTTTGACACATATATCTGCCAAACTCTAAATCTGTTAAAACTATTTTAAGACCAGATGCTTATTTTCCCGTGGTCTTCAACACTACATTGATCATATGGCAACAGAAAAAAAAATCCATAAAATGTATTTCTTCTTTTATATTATATATACATAGTTTTTAAATTGTTGTTCAAGTACAGTTGTCTCCATTGTTCCCCCACCCACTCCCCAACATCCCACCCATCCCTCCCACCTCCCACCAAGCTCCCACCAAGTTCCCATTAATTTCTGTCTAGGAAAAATGGCACACCCAATAGGTCATGGTAGTTTATTGTTGGGGTTTTCCCCACCCCATTCACCATCCAGGTCTTGTTTCTTATAGGACTTTATCATTGGCAGCCTGGGGAAGATCAAAAATGACCATGATTACTGGGTGGGACTCGTTCAGGTTGGACCCACCCAACCTTGGCTTTGGCAAGATGGCTCCTCTCCTTCCCCTGACCTGTAAGTGTTTAAGGGGGAAAAGATCACAAAGTTACAAGAAAAAAAAAACACGTGAGGGAATTCAAATGCTCCTTTTATTTTATATATTAGGTTTCCTCCAGGAAACACAACCAGCATCATAATTCATAGCTTTCTGATTAGAATCAAAGCTGAGGTAATTTATGCATAGCTTTATGGCTTCTAAATCTTCTTCCTTTTCATCCTCACTGCCATTATCCTCCAGAACATTTACATTAAATCTGAGAGTCTGAATGAACAGTATTATTTAATTATCAAGTATATTTCCTTTGTATAATTTAATGACTAGAGAGTGCTAAAGAAAAGAGATTATAGAAATTATTAAGCAATTCCGTAATTCAGGTTTTCAGATAGACCTAGGGAAAATTGGTGAACAGAGTTAGATGCTTTCGTATTTTGATAATTAAGAGTCAGGAAAGATTCTAATTCAGAGACTGTCTTTATGTTTTTATATGCAGTTTGTTCAAGTTATATTAACATATTTTTATTGAGAGAAAACAGCTCTGCAAGACTACTCCAGAAGAGTGTCACATTCAAACAAAATAGAATAAAATAAAACTCACACCTCTCATGAGTTACCCACAACAGCACCACTGTAAGCTCCATACCTAACCTCAGATACCCTGACTTGCCTCTCCAGGTTCCCAACAAAGACACCCCCATCAACTCTCCAGCTCTGTGGATACCTCAGAAACAAGAACCTTTCTTCCACTGACTGCGGACGTTGGAAATACTCTATCTGTGAGAAGTATGTGTTAACATCCTCTACATGAAAGAAGTTGAGTTTGAAGTGATCTATTGCCATAGTATTTGGAACAGGCCATTGGAAAGCCTGTTGCAGAATGCCAAGGAGCAAGTGCAGAAGTAAAGTTATATGTGAGCTTAACTAGCAAAACTGGGACTCAAAACTTATTTTTGCATTTACACTGGGTAATATTCTTCAGTATATCCCAGGCATTATTTTGATAATGTTCAAGTTGCCAAGAATAAAATTGATCTAGAGGACAAAACCCTGAAGGGTTGAGAACAAACTGAAGAAAAATCATTGTGATTTGCCATGCTTTTTTAAAAAATCTAGAGTGACCATAAACATACAGAAATCTATAAGTCACTAGGGAAATGATGCAGTTCTAGCTGACTGATTTTTTAAAGTAAATAAATGTGGACTTTTAAGCTCCCTGTCTGCCAGATCTTTTATTCATTTGCTAGGTTTCCAAGGCATCATTATCAGACTGGGAGGATGTGAATACAGGAACATGGATTTTCAAATTGGAAGGAAGAGAGGCTGATGTCTGCTGCCTATAAGACAATACCTTTTTTAGGACTATAGATTTCTACTAGAGAGATGAAATACGAACCCTTCACAAAAGTGGAAGGGAAAGTCAGGCTGCCGACACCAGCGTGGTTCCAGTGAACGACAGCTGTGTGTGAGCCTCGCTCCTTTCTCACTGACCATCCCACCACTCACAAATCAGGGAACTCACAGTCTGGATCCCAGAAGCTTAGCACTCCAGCACTTTTAACCTCTCTGTGCCTCAATTTCTTTATTATAAAATAATAATAGAACTTATTTCAAAATATTTTTGAGGCCAAAATCATTAATATATGTAAATTGCTGATAATAGTACCTCACATAGAATTTGACATTGTATTGGTGCTTGCTATTATTACCTGGAGTAAATTACTAATCATCTCTATCAACCATATCAACCGTATGTGTGCATTCCAGGTAAAAATGACCCCTTTTCTCTTCATGTCCCAGGAATGTTGATAAGACAAAGTTTATATGTAAAACACCAGCAACTATCTGGAGAGGTTATCTTTTTTAAAGTGAATGAATCTCTTCAAATACATCTATAGGCAATCTGTGTCCTAGGTCTGCAGCCTTCTTGAACATGGGTTAGCTTGTTCCCAAGAGACAGTGGATATGAAAGTATGTTATGATCTATAAGAAAAAAATCACTATTATTATGTTACTCTCCATTTACCATCCCTACAACTTACTACACAGTAGATATTCATAAAATACTCACTAAAGTCAGCATAATTTTATTAAATCTTTCATTTGCACAAGGAGTAGTTGAGCTACAGTAGATTCTCATCTTTCTTTATAATAAAGACGCCATTTAAATGAATAAAGTAAAATAAACTAATTCACTGAAACAGTACAAATCCCGTAAGTGAACCTAGAAGTCTATTGAAAAAGGTGACTTCTAGCCCTGGCTGGCGTAGCTCAGTGGATTGAGCGTGGGCTGTAAACCAAAGTGTCGCAGATTCGATTCCCAGCCAGGGTACATGCCTGGGTTGCAGGCCATAACCCCCAGCAACCGCACATTGATGTTTCTCTCTCTCTCTATCTCCCTCCCTTCCCTCTCTAAAAATAAATAAATAAAATCTTTAAAAAAAAAAAAGAAAGAAAAAGGTGACTTCTGAAGGAAAAGGTCCTGTAAGGATGGGAAGGGATGTTTTTTTGTTTTTTAATTTATTTTCCCCTGACCTGCAGTTTAAATGGTGGGGATTTCAATATGAGGGATTTTCTCTACTTTCCCATTGAACCTAGGAAAAGAGACAAGCAAAGAAAACACCATGCTTTCAGTTTTCACAGCTGGCAGCGGGCAGCTGGATACAATAACCTGGAGTAAAGGGGGAACAATAACAATTTTTAGTAGTGAAGGCTGTTTGTCTTCAAGATTCTTCAAAGTATTGTCATGGAGCTATGTTTAGAGAAATCATAGGAAGCATTTAATAACTCTGGTTAGAAAAAGTACAATGAAGCAAAAAGGCAAACATCCTTCAGCTGATGTCATCCTTCCAGTATGCGCTGCAGTATTTACAAGTCAGAATTTTATCTGCACTGCAGCTGGCAGTATCTCCTTCACATTGCCTCAGTGACGACAGTGCTCTCCACACAGGTGTTACGGGTGGAAGATGTTTTTCCTGCAGGTTGCTTTTGGCCCAGATTATCAAGGGCTTTTTCAAAGCAATGGAAAGAGACTGAGCCTTCACACCGGCATAACCAGTTCTATACCTTAGTCCCACCAATAAATAAATTGGGTATCTTGAGTCATCTCACTGAGTTCCAAGTTAGCTCTTAAAACAGGGGAAAGAAAAGGAAACATAAACTTCTACCCTACAAATGTAAAGAGGCCTTTGTAATGTGGTATAGTTAAAGTACATTAAGTGTGTAAAAAGAAAAACATTAGACTAGTAAAATTGAAAGAATAATAGGAAGTAGTATTAGATTCTAATAATCTAGTCACATAGTGAACCTTGTAAAAAAGTTATGCACAATTTAAATCAGATTATGCCACTTTTTGTATTTTTCAAAAATGACAAGAATCCCTTTACAAAGTATTTGCCTCTCATATATTAAACCCTGAGACAACCTGCTAGACTTCCTATTTATTTCATAATCTGTTTATATCCCTGAAGTAAAAGCTCTCATTATACTTCTCTCACACTTCCTGCTGTTACAGGGCTCATGGCCTGTTTCCTGTTGATAAGTTTTAAGAGCTGGTTCAATATCCTCAGGAAAAGAAAGAGCTCATTGTGTACTCTGGGGAATTCAGGTCTACCAGGAAAGGCCACGTTCCTTGTTTGACTTTTCCTGCAACTTCTTCAGAATTACCTAAACACACAAGGTCTTCTCTTGCTGAAAAATCAATCCATGGGGGCTGCCTTCTCTGATTCTCAATGGGGAATTGATCTCAGCAAACCATATTTTCAAATTCATTATGATTATTTTCTAGTCATAAAATTGTTTTAATTGTGGAGAGAATGTTGTGTCATACTCCTTTTCTGTTTTTTGAAATATTTGCTCAGAGTGTGATCAGTATTGTGAGTTTTGTTATACAGGTGAGGGGATTATTGAGGGCAAAGATGGAGGAAAATAAGCTCAAAAATAGCCCAAAATGCCAAATAATTCTTATTTTTTCCTTCTTCACTGTCTAAAGAGACACTTCACCTTAGACTGCAGATTTTTATTGAGAATACCATTCAATACCCTCCCTTGGCAGCTGGACTCTTTAAGGCAGTGTCATTTAATGAGACTCTTCTCATCCAGCCCTGAACACAGGGGTTAAAATTTATGTGTGTGTCTCTATTTGACAAGTCAGTCCACAACATCATTTGATTTTCTCATATTAACCATTATTTTCTTGCTTCAGTAGCAAGGCTTAAATAACACTTAACTGCTTAAATGAAAGGCCTTATCCATATTTCTTGTTATGTGCTTAGTACATTAACTGTGTGCATTAAATATCTGCACTCATGACGAAAAATATTCAGTAATATCCACAGTTCCCCAATGCAGGTGTATCTACAATTTGTTCATGAACACAGATCTCCAAAGAAGGTTATTGATGCTTGTTTGTGCTCCTCTATATTTTAAAATACCTGCTTTTTGCATATGTTTAATATCCTTCAAATTTTATATTACAATTTAAATTATGGGACTAATTTCACATTTACCTCATTTCAGGTAACATTTCAGCAACATGAGGAGATTGTAAATATTTCCACTTTATATTTAATGAAATAAGCTTCTTGAAATAAAGTAATTTTATAATAATAAATTAAAATTAGGCATCTAAAATTTCTGCTTTATGATCACAAATACAGTTCTCTTTGCACAACACAATAAATCAACACAAAATTTTTTTAACATTGAAAAATTTCCTAGATAACAGGCAGAAAATTGAAAGAAAAAATCTTAAGAAAGAAATCTATAATTCATGATTGATGTTGTGTATATTGCCATCCTGAGAGAGGGCCACCTCCACAAGAAGCCAGCTATGTATGTCACAGTCTCTCACTTCCCATGACCTGACTGAACGACTTGCCCTATTGCAATTCAGTTCACTCACCTTGAGCCACATGTTGATGGCAATCTGCCTCAAAGGATTTCATTTTAAAAACTGTTAAAACCATCCTCTTGAGGACAGCATGTATCTCAAAGACTTCGTATTTTCATCAAATATTCAAATAATTAGTACTCTTGTAGAGCCCAAAGTCTCAGTAAAGTGCAATCAGAACACTGACTTTTATGATCTTTTGAAGACCATTTACACACTGAATTTTTCCCGAAATCACAAATCCATTCTCAAATCACACATACTTCACATTATTTTAATTTATTATTATTAAATCTTTAGTACCTGAGGATATAAACATGGATCAAATGAAGAAAATATAAACTAAAACCAAACTATTCCAGATGCACATAAATAGACAGATTTTTGTTCTGGTCTTCAGTCTCTGAAGCAAGCATCAGGGATAGTAATTTTGACATGGAACTAGGTTGACAATATTTCTATCACAGAAGAAATTCCTTGGGGAAGGAGACAATCACTGGAATCTTAAATAGACATAGGGAGATAGGTTTGTAAGAGGTAAGGTTCTAATAAAAAGAATTAGCCCGGTGAGAAGCAGGCCATGGACACAGCAGATGGGGTCTTTACTGAGAGATTGAGAAAGGAAAAAAATAACTTAAACAAAAAACCCCCAAACAAACCACAAATCAGTTGTGTATTTGGTAGCACAGTATCAGATTTCTCATAGACTAATTGACTGTTAGCACAAAGGATGTTACATACATTTATTTCTTCCGTGTAAATCCCTCACTCCTCTAAATATTAAGGAAGGCATGGAAAAAGGGAAATGATATTAGATGTTGAGAAGGAAGAACACTAGGAAGTTATCTCAAAATCAAGAAAGTGGCTAGTAATTTTATGGGTTTCCAGGACCAGTTGGTGATACATAATTGAGATTTCTTCATGCTGGTAAATATGTTCATGAACTCCCAAGCTCAGAAGTGCTGGTGATCTTGAGCTAAAAACACGAAAATCCTTGTTGTGCCAGTTGAGGGATTGCCTTTCCTGATCTTTTTTCCATTTCCTATGTCTCAAATATCCTTTGCATTGACCTTGCTTTGGTTCAAGCTTTTGTTGAATTGTTGTATAAACATGGGGCAAATGAAAGAGAATAGTTTGAAACCAGGTGCACACAAAAAGACGAACTTTTCTTCTGATCTTCAGTTTGTCTGAAGGGAGTGCAAAGTTGTAGTTGCAGCTAGGGAGTTAATCAATTCCACGTAATGGTTCAGAGAAGCTAAGGAGTGTCTCTACCCTGACTGTGGCTGCCATTTTTTCACATGCACACCGTCTCAACTCTTGGCAGTT